AACAATACAGGACACACAATTTATAGGATTATTTTATAATAGTCACCCCAAAGAGTCATATACATGAGCGTGCAAGAAATCTGTCCACACATTAAAGACCAAAAGCATCTACCTGAGGGCCTTAATCGCACAGCCCTGTTCTGCGTGAGTCCAGCTGAAGATCTAGAAACCATAACAATGCCCCCATGAATCCAGCTGGAGGCCAAGAGCCAAAAATATCTCATGCAGGCCTGTTTCAAGGATCTGTGCTGGGAAGACCGAAATGTCAGTGCTGGAAGCTAGAGAGTCTGTGCCAGCGGGTTGAAGGATCTGTGCTAGCAGGCTGAAGGATCTGCACTGGAGCCAGGAAATGACGCTCAAAATGAAACCAAAGCTTCCATGAAAAGTATCACAGCTATCCTCAGCAACAGTGGGGTCCCAAGCTCCTTCGATAATCAAGACAGCTGAGTTCCCATCAGGAAAGCCAATGTGACAAACTTCTCCAGGAAAATGAGCAGTGCACCATCTGGCCAGGAAGCGATACTCAGAGTGAGGACCAGAGCTCCCGCAAAGTGAACTGTAGCCATGCTCAGTGACAATGAGGTCCCGAGCTCCTTTGACAAGCCAAACAGCCAAATTCATCGAAAGCTAGCAAAACAAGCTCCTCCAAGAAAACCAACAGCTTTCAACAGCTTTTCTTATTTTCCAGTTCTGCCTCTGATGCTGCTGGCAACAATCCTCAGGTGGACCTCTTCCACCCAGCACCATGCTGGATCAGTTCAGCTGGGTGTTAACAAGTTGACCACCAGTTGTCAATCCACCACAATAATCATTCCCACTGCAAAAGAAAGAATACAAAAATAGCAAGGATTTGGACCAAAGCAAGACCAAAACCCCCTCGGGCAAACATTAAATTCTATAGCTTCGTGTTCAGCATTTAGTGTACATTTGGCATGATGTAAACTGCAAAGACTCAGACAGCTCTGTCCCTACAGCCTTGCTGGTTGTGTTCTAAATGACCTTTTCTTGAGCTGACTCTACGTGATGCCTTAGCTTGACAGACATCCCATGTTCCTGGTGTCTCCAACTTTCAGGGGTTGCCATTGCAGTTTCAACCTTATTTACATAGCTTCATGCATCATCTCAGTGGTTCCTGGCAGGGACTTAAACTCCTTCATACATTGTCTGGCCTTCCAGACCTGCCTTTCAAATTTGGGTAGGAGCCTGTATGACCCACAATTCTTGCATACTGCACACCTGCAAAACCAGCACTATCTAAGCCTTCTTGAAAGTCATTTCTGTAGCAGCTTCTGAAAGCATGGATGGCTGAACTCAGGAAAATGCTGAGCCCTAAATAAAGTGGGATCTTTGGGGCTCTCATCTTAAAGAGTATTTCAGAGTCGTACATTTATTTCCTTATGCCTGGTATGCATGGAGTCTGATCATTCCTTCAAGGCTTCTGTCCTATCATACTGGTGGAAAGTATTGGCTTCTTTTTATAACACTAATTTCTGCAGTAACCCCACATTTCTTGGCCTCAACTTTACACCCACCTCTTTTCTGACGGAAATACAAGCTTTGCAAATCTTTCTAGCCAGCTTTTGCTCTAGATTTTCACTATAAATCTGGACAAAAGCAGTCAGTAATATCCATGCCACCACCTGAATGCTATACTGCTTTGAAATTTCCCCTGCCAAATAAACTATCACCTTTAAACCCAATAAACCCAAACCTTTAGGACATGGACAGAATATAGACAAGTGCTTTGTCAAAATGTAATATAAATGGCTCTGATTTAATTCCCAGTAGAATCCTTGTTCCTATTTCAAACCTCATTTTAGATCCAAACCTTAGGAGAAGGCTTACTGTAACAAGGATAAAGCAAGTGGGAAAGGTCAGCATGTCAACACAATTTCATATAATGAATATCAATATCTGAAATGAGTATCATGTGGAGGAATTACAATTCACTTAGCAATGGAACTTGGTATGGCTTACAGCAGTAAAAAAAATCCAGGTTCACTTCAGACATTTCTGTTGTGTATATATCAAGATGTAGAACTGTTCTGTCAAATGGTATGTTTATGTTCATCAGTAGGATATACTGCCAAATATGTATTCAAAATAGTAGAAAAAGTTCAAACTTCCCTAGTAGTATATGACAGTTCATGCTATCATATCCTCTCCAACAACTGTTTTGTATTTCTCTTTCATCTTGGACATTCTGGTTGATGGCAACAGGATTGCATTATACTTTGAAATAAAATTTTAAACCATTTTATTGAGAAACTAAATATAAGAGATACAATAAATATATAATAGCAGGAAAAGACAATTAGGGACAGAAAAGAGTGTAAGGTGACTCAGCAGTCTGATTTTTACTTGTCTCCAAAATGAAACAATATACAACACCTGAAATAAAAAGAGAAAAAGGATGCAAAATATATGCAAAAGTCCTTTTTAAGAGACACCAGGTAACAAAGATGATAAATAAAATAGTATAATTCTATAGTTATATCAATTTCATATCTTGAGACCATTTCCAGCTTGTAAAAGGTCAGAAAGAACTTGATTTTTTTTAAGAACCTGATTTTAAAAATCTGGGATTTGTGATTGTGAGTTAAGAGCATAGATCTTAGAGTACACATGGGACCAGGAATTTAAGTTTCACTAGACAATGTATGAGAGGACAGTGCTACTCTGGAGTGGAGCTATGGGGAAGGTCCTCTGTGAGCCCTTGTCAGGGTTTTGTTGCTAAACCAACCAAGGAGATAAGAATCTCCATAGAGGTCTGATGGCAGAAGAAAAGCAAATGGGACAATAACAGAGCAGGTGGGATAAATAGAATAGAGTAGTACAGAAGACTTAAAGCCTCCCTATATGAGGAAACAATTAAGTGTAAGTAAAATGAAGAGCACAATTAAAGGGCAAACATTGTCAAGTTGGATTCAAAACCAATAACGATATCCAAGTAAGTACTTGCTTCCTACCAGAAACATTTTAAATCTAAAAACACAAATAGATAAAATCCTGTGGTGCAACTTAACAGGAGTTACAACTCTGAAAAGGCCATCAGGGAAGGGTTCATTGATAGGGTGACATCTCAACTAAGATCTGATGGAAAGAAGGAGCAAACGATGAATATAGCTTGGGGTCAGAACAAGCAGAAAAGGTCCTGTGGAAGGAGCAAAGTTTGCTTTAAGCGTTAAGAAGCATCTAAAAGGAAGCTGAAACCCCTTCAGATAAGACATTATCACTTAAATTTTTGTTCAGAAAGTAAAATGGAACAATGTTTGACATACCAAAATTTGATTAAAAACAGACTGTTTTATATACTAAACAATATTTGTGGCTAAAATTTAAATGGCAGATAAAAAAGAAAAATAAAATAGCTCTTATTCTATGCCTTTGTAATAATATATAAATTATATTTAAAATACCACTGGACTATTCTCAATATTAGCCCTTTATTTAGACTTAATTCTTTCTTTCTTTCCTTTTTTTTTTTTTTTTTTTTTTTGGTACTGGGAATCGAACTCAGGACCTTGCACTTGCCAGGCAGGCACTTGTGCTGCTGAGCTACATCCCCAGCCGCTAGACTTAATTCTTTATAAATTGACTACTTTATTAGATTTTTAAATACTGTAATTGTTTAAAGGTATTGCTCAACTTTCTAGATAAGTTCAACTTTTAAAGTTATTTGAGAAACTATTAAATACTCTGAATTCAGTTATTTTTAAATTGGGTAATTAAGTAGAAAATATTTACTAACAAAAATGTATGTTTGATTTATTAATATTTGTGGCTTGCTGTCTTACAACTATTACCTCTTAGGATCAAATTTATAAAATTGCATATGTTTTAAAAAACATTTCATTTATCAAACCACCAGTGGAAATAACTATATATGTTTTTCATATACTCAGGTTTTCCATTGGTTGGAAGAAATATTTTGATGATATAGTCATTTTTATTAGCTGAATATTACTAATTTTGAAGAAATTAGAGAGTTTATAATAATTTTATACCACTATTCCCTGTGGATACTGATATTGAATACCTAATCTCTTAATAGCAATTTTCCAGTGAAGAATTGATAGTTTTCTTTAACTTAAACTTCTTGATAATTCATTAAACCTTTTATAAAACCAAACACAAAATATCAAAATATAATACATTTCTAGTAAACTAAAGAAAGTTTAGCTACTAACAAATGTGCTAAACATATACCAGGTCCAAACTGAGACTTTGTCCTTGGGTACCAAGAAGATTAAGAAAGAAGTGGAACACAAGTGCATGTCTAACAGTGTGAGTCAATGTTTTTAATGCCATTTTCCAAAGCTACGAAAGCCATCATGTGTACTGCTGGTTATGGGCATCCTTAAACATGTGAAGCACGAATGGTTTGTGTGTGTGCTTATGTGCATGTTTGTGTGAGTGTGTATATTTGCTTGAGGTACACTGATTTTAAAATTTAGCAACTTCAAATAGAATGTCATAATTTTCTTACGATTTTAAGTAATGCATTGGTCAGCTTTTCTTTTGCTGAGAGAAAATACCTACTATCCGCAATCTAAAACTAGAAAGTTCATTTGGCTAATGGCTTCAGAGGATTCAGTTTGGGCAAACTGGCTCCAAGGCAGGAATATCATGGCAGAAGGATTTGGTAGGGAAGACTGCTTACTTCCTGAATTCCAGGAAACAGAAAAGGGAACAGTGCCAGAGAGGAAGGAGAGAGGATCAAATATAGATCCCACACTCATGCTTTTATGGTCTGTCCAAACACACCCAAGACTGTGCTTTTGTAATCCCTTACAAAGTTCCCAAGCCAATCAAGATGACAGTTAAGCTTAACATTACAAACTGCTAACTTGATTTTATTAATATTAATGAATATATTGACATTTCTGTGTATGTGTTACACTGAACTCTTTAGATTCTAAATATGTATAAGTTAAAATGTTGCCCAAACATCCTCTAGAAAAATTACTAAAAAGAAATTGTTTTTCCTGTTTTTACAGCTTGCAGACCAGGATTCTATAAAGCATTTGCTGGAAACACTAAGTGTTCTAAATGCCCTCCACACAGTTTAACCTACATGGAAGCCACTTCTGTCTGTCAGTGTGAAAAGAGTTACTTCAGAGCTGAGAAAGACCCACCTTCTATGGCATGCACCAGTAAGTCCACACCTTGTGCATTTGGAATCCTGCATCCAACCCCTTGGGTTTCTTTACGCTTAATTATAAACAAATGTACAAAGTCCTGTGTTATCAGTATAATGTGTCTTTGGTAAGGAAAGAGCCCTATCTTCTCTGAATCATTGTCTTTCACATGGTTTTAAATCTGCATTTACTTCTCAAAATTTCCACTTCTTCTTGGTGTATTCATGCAGAAACTACTTTGACACCCTGCAAATATTACCTAAGCAAGACCTGTGGTTGCTAACTTAAGACGGTTTAAGAAAAAAGTAGAAGTGATAAACAAAACCTCTGCTCATCACTTTAACCATGTTACAGCACATGAATTATGAAAATAAAGTTTTTTTGGGGCTAGGGAAAGTTTGAATCTCCTTGACATTTGTTTTCAGGGAAGCTGTTTTTGAGTTTGTCCATATTTCCCCCTCAGTTTCTCCTCACTGTTTTGGTTGGAACCAGTAGAATGTTAGTTCTAAATGTGAAGGTCATTTCAATGCCTACACTCAGAATTTTAGATTATTTCTGTCTTCTATTATTTAAATCTTGTGAAATACCTATACATTTAGAAAATAAAAGTGAATTATTAATACATTGCTAAGCCAGACAAAAGTAAAATGTCACACTCAGTTATAAAGGATTTTTAAAATTATAAACAAGATATTGCATTATTTTCTTATTCCCTTTAATGATTTGATCAATCTTCTATTCTTACATCTGGTAATCTGAGCAACTTCATTGAAGATAACAGTATGTAATATAACAACCACTGTTAATCCCTATCATTTGGTTTGAAACCCTGTATCATTTTTAATGTTCTTGCTTTGTTTTGTTTGTATTTTGCTATTATTCTTTTTTGTAATATTTTCTTTAAAATAAAAAATTTTAAAAGAGAAAATTTATCATTCTTGATGATCAATGGGTACAAAAATATTGCTTGTATAATTCTATAGAAGCAAAAGTACTATAGATAAAGAATTATGTTATGTCACATATTCCTTAGAGACAAGAGTTGTCTCAGCTTTTAAGCTTAAATGATGCCCCTCAGGTTTCTATGTTTAACTATAGGTTTTATTGTAAAATGATTTTAGAAAACATAATTGACAAAAAATGCAACACATTCATTAGCAGATGTAATATTTGCTTTCTATTGGAAATTTATTTTTTTATTTTAAAGATAAAAGAACAAAAACATATTAACAAACACATACATTTACAAAATAATACAAAAACAATACAAGAAATACAGAATTTCAGACAAGGTGATAGGAAATTAACAGTGGTTGGTGTATTACATATTGATATCTTCAAATTAGTTACCTACATAAACAAATATAGACATGTAAGATTGATTAAGCAATTAACAATAACAATAAACAATTCTATATACATAATTTTCCCCTTCTTTCTTTTCTATTTTTCCCTCATTCCAGTTGTTCTTTCCTTTTGAGCAGTTTTTATTGGAAATTTTAAATGACTACTTTCTTTGGACAATTGCTAGATCTTTTTCTTGAGAATATACTTTAAATTTTCAGTAGAAAAATATAAATTATAAATATTATTTATTATAAAAATAATTTATAATGATAAACCTTGTTGTTAGTATACATATATATTTTCTTGTGTAATTAGTGTATATTATTATATTGTAATATGAATGATATACTACAGTTTAAGTATATGGAATTTTTTTTATAGTCACTGGTCTGCCAAATAACTGTCTTTTAAAATCTGCATATGAAATGGAACGTAGATTCTTAATTGAGTGATGAGGGGGAAAAGAATCAGTGTTTTTTTATGTTCATAGGCCATAAATAGACAATTGGTAAATTGAAAAAATAAAATGATTCCCACCTTCAAAAACTCTTTGAGTGTTATAGGGGAGTAAATAGGAGGGTCTATTCCCTGGAATGAGAGGCTAGCTGAGGAACAAAACATGAGATGAAACAAGCCCATAAATACTGTGAGTTTTTCTGCCACTGTTGAATCAGACATGTGCATATATTAGTTTAGCATTTTGTTACTTCAATTTATTTCCTTTTTCAAAAGACTGGTATGTACACGACATTTTTAAAAACTACTGTACTGAATAGGCTAACAAGAGGCGAAAAAAGAAGAGGTTTAATTGTCACCCCTGAGCAGAAACTTAGGAAGAAGTGCGCTGTTGTTGCTGCTGGGGAGGAAACACAGTTCAGTCTCTGTCACCACAGTTCTTAACTGTCATGGAGCCCTGTAACAAAAGACACATTAACAACAGAAAAGCAAACAGTTACTAATGTGTATATGTGGGAGATACTCAGGATGTGCAAATTTCAGAGATGAGTTTGAGTTCGGGCTTAAATAAACTGAAACAAACCAAAAAGGCTGTTGGGACAGGAAAGTGTAAAATAAACAAGAAAATCACAATAAAGAAAGGCCTATTGTGCACTTAACTTACAGCCTTCTTCATGAGAGCAGTCTCTGCCCAGTCATCTGTCTCCTGAAAAGACAGAGAAACAGTCTTTAAGTGGAGGTTTCCTTTACTGATATGCATTTCCCTTACTAAAGAGTAACGTTTATTTGTTTGTTTGTTTTCAGAGCTCCTCCTAGGTTGTCTGTAGTCTCTCAAAATAATCAGCTCAGAATAGTCTTTGTGCCTGAGGGGCATATTTTGGAGGGGCATATGCTGCTCTTCTAAATTGCCCTTAGGGGTCAAAAAAGAGAACCCAAAGTAAGAACAAAGCAGCAGGGATTTTTCTTCTGCAGCCACCAGAGCATCCACTGTCAGTGCTCCTCTATGATGCCTCTGTGCGAGGCTGTTTTGGCCTTGTTTAGTAAGGTTTCGATACAGCTTACTAGGAGGTGCACCATCCTATACAGCCAAAGCATTTGAGATGGAATCTTGATGTGCACTAGATCGGTACAGTTGAACAAATTAGTTAACCTCCCCTGGCCTGACTTGCACCAACCACAGAAATAACAACAATATGTACCATATAATGTTGTCCCAATGATTAATAAAAGAAAAGTACTAAAACCAGTATTTTGCACAAAGTAGATATTCTGTAAAAGTTAAGTAAAGAAAACTCTTGTATTTTAAAAGTTTCTGGTAAGTTAATATTCAAATACTAAATGATTTACATTGAACTATTACGCTAGGCTAATAGCATCCATCATTTATATTCCTACAGACTGAAGGAAATAATGTACTGACTTAAAAAAAACTTTTCTAGTACCTGTTTGCAGTACATACTGATTGGGACTTGGCTCATGTAATAACATGCCTTAACTATTTTTATGTCCCCTTCTCCTCTCTTCCACCTCTTCTCCCAAAACTCTTGGTCCCATGCCCATTTGAAAAATATCTCCCTTTTTCCTATCCTTTATTTTCCTCTTTAATTTATTTAACTTTGAGTTTCTCATATAAAGAATGATGCAGTAGTTAAACATACATGTCTGAATTATTTTGCTTAACATTATGGTCTCAAGGTATATGCATTTTCATAAAAATGACTCCAATTTATCCCTCTTTATAGCAGAGTAGCACTCTTCGTGTATAAACACCAAATATTATTTATCTATTTTCTGTTGATGAAAATACAGACTGCTTCCAGAGTTTAGTTCTCATGAATTATGCTGCTATAAACATGGCTGTGCATGTATCACTGTAGTATGATACCTTTAAATCTTTCAGAAAGATAAAATGGAATGGAAAGAGCTAGGTCAATTAAAATTTCTTCTTTAGTTTTCCGAGGAATTTCACACTGATTTCCATATTGATTGTACTAGTTTACATTCCCACCAGGAGGAGGGTCCTGTTTTTCTTTAGCATTTGTTATTATTTGATTATTAATTATAGCTATTTTCTAGAATAAAATGAAATCTTAGTGTTGTCTGAATTAGCATTTCTATAATAGACAGAAATTGTGTACATTTTTCATGTATTTATTGGCCATTTGCACTTCTTTTTCTGAGAAGTATCTATTCATTTCAGTTACCTATTCGACTGAATCTTCTATATTGGAGGCTATAATTTTTATTACTTTATATATTCTATGTATTACTCCTCTGTCTGAAGAGTAGCTAGAAATAACTTTTCCCATTCTGTAGGTTGTTTCTTTTCTCTGTTTGTTTGTTTCCTTTGCTGTGCAGAACATTTTTAAATTTGATGTAATCCCATTTGTTGATTCAGGAACTTATTTCTTGTGCAATTGGAATTCTGCTCAGAAAGTCCTTTTCTATACCTTTGTATTTAAAATTTTACCTATTTTATCTTTTAGCAAATTAACTGTTTCTGTTTTTATATTTAGAGCTTTAATCCATCTTGGTGTTAGTTTAGCATATGGTGAGAAATATGAGTCTAGATTCAGTTTTGGCTTGTGGATATCTAGTTTTCCCAGCATCATTTGTTAAAGAACCTCTCTTTTCCCCAGTGTATATTTTTACCCTCTTTGTAAAAGATCAGATGACTGAATGTCCCAAGAACAAGAGCAACATAAATCTAAGGCTAGTATCAGGTTAATAATACCCCCTTGTTATTGCAGGTTGATCAGTTCCACAATCTCCCAAACAAATGTATGGCAAAGGCTAAATAAAAAGAGGCAAATGGAGTGGTTTCAGGGCTCCAAGAGGACCAAAGCCTTCTCACAAAATTCAAAATTCTCTCAGGGCTAACTCCAAGACTTTTGTTGGGTGGCCCCTATTTATTTGATTATCAGAAAAAGGGAGGTGAGTACTCAGGGACATCTCCAAGTAAGGTATTAAATTCATCCTTAATAAGAATTAAGTTAATCCCCTCAGAAGTGAGATGACTGAGGCTATAGTTTTTATATAGTTGAAGTCAGACCCAGGTGTCCTTGGCTGGGCTCTTGTCTTATCCTTTGAGGCTTTCTGGCTTCATCCACCATTACAGGCTTTAGTAAGATAATGACTCACAGAGTTTCACTTACTATGAGTCTACCATCCATTTCCAGACAAGGAGCCAAGGCTCATAAGTAAGCATGAAA